ATTTTGCTATGAGAAGCTGATGATCAGAGCCACAATCAGCTCCAGGTCTTGTTTTTGCTGACTGTATAGAGCTTCTCCATCTTTGGCTGCAGAGAATATAATCAATGTGATTATGGTATTGCCCATCTGGTGATGTCCATGTGTAGAGTCGCCTCTTGTGTTGTTGGAATAGAGTGTTTGTGATGATCAGCTTGTTCTCTTGACAAAACACTATTAGCCTTTGCCCAGCTTCTTTTTGAACTCCAAGGCCAAACTTCCCTGTTGTTCCTTTTATCTCTCAACTCCCTACTTTAGCATTCCAGTCCCCTAGAATGAGAAGAACATCTTTCTTTGGTGTCAGTTGTAGAAGGTGTTGTAAGTCTTCATAGAACTGGTCAATTTCAGTCTCCTCAGCAATGGTAGTTGGTGCATAAACTTGAATTATTGTGATGTTGAAAGGTCTGCCTTGGATTTGTATTGACGTAAATCAATGTAAATCATGCTTACCTCAGTTTAAATGGAGGTGAATTGAGCTCTTAGTCTCTCCTTTTAGCTTTGCTAAAGCAGAAATGCTATAAGCACAAAGAAGGAAAGAATAGAAAATACTGAAAAACATAGGTTAAAAAATTACCTGAAATAAGAAACTACAGTACTGTACATTGAAATATTAACCAATAACATTTATATGTAGCTGTTTGTAAGGATAAGAATTAGCTTTGCTAAAGCAGAAATGCTATAAGCACAAAGAAGGAAAGAATAGAAAATACTGAAAAACATAGGTTAAAAAATTACCTGAAATAAGAAACTACAGTACATTGAAATATTAACCAATAACATTTATATGTAGCTGTTTGTAAGGATAAGAATACATTTTTATACAAAAAGACAAAAAAATTGAATACAATTTACCTAGCCTCTTCTCTTTGTGTGAAGAGAGTTCAGGAGCACAGGAGACCAGATTTGGTTTTATCTGGAAGGAAGCTAGTTGAAGGCTTGATCACATTTTGTAACAATTGAATGTATTTACAAACAAGCAGACTGAATTGACTTAGGCAGGGAGGGACTCAGCTTATCCAATAGCGGTATCATCTGCTCTGCATCAAGTCTCCAGCGAGGGAGACAGCTTCTCTCCACGGAACCTTCCAGAGCTCATTCTTTCTCTACCCATCACTTTAAAAATGGCTAGTGGTCATCCCTGAATTCAGAACATAATGTAAAAGCTCATTTGCCTAAGAGGATGCGGCATTGCAATCTTGTTCTGCTCACTGGAGATGCAAGTGAGACATTTCCTGGCACCCTTAACCAAGTTCTTGCTTTGGGTGAGAACAGTGTTTTGTGCAAATGTCCCCCTCTTCTCTACAAAATCACATAATTTGTGCACCCTAAGCATTTGAAGCACTGGGTGGATTTTTCCTTCTTTCTTAACAGCCATGTCTTCTGTGCAATCATGATTCCCATGATAGTAGAAGGGCCATGATATCTGCATTTCTCTTCCTTTTTTATGGTCTAAAGGAGATGAAGAATATATGAAGAATATATATAAGGATATAAGGATATATATAAGGAGAATATATGAAGGATGTTAGGTACTTTTTCCTTATTGTAGTTACTTATCCAAGTTGAATGTTATGGTTTCCACACAGACATTGTTTTTGACAACTTCTGTGTAGCAGTGCTCCATGTAATGGCTATAAGATTTGAAATCTGCTATTGGTGAAGGGCATTCCTACATAATTATGTCAAATGTTATGAAAGACAGGTTCCAAATATCACAGCCTAGTACTAGTAGGTGGAATACAACTACTCAGATGTAGAGATGAGGGCTTCATATTTATATACAAATAAAAGCCCACCGGCACAGGTGGCAAGTCTGATTAACACCCACCCCCAGAACATGCCAGACCATTTACTGCATGGCACATGGCCAGCGAAATTGCCAGTGCCCCAGTCACAGCAGTAGCCCAGCTGCCACAGTCCTGCCTCCCTGCTCACCGAGGCACTCCGGCAGGGGGCAGGAGAACGAGTCTCCCTGTTCAGCTGTGGCGTGGCCAGGTAAGCAGGGTGATGGTGCTGCGGCATCCAGCTGCTGCCATGATTGGAGTGCAGAAGAGGACGCTGGCCATGCGTGCCAAGCTCTAAGTGGTTCAGTGGATTCTGAAGGTGGGCGATAATGGGGCTGGCCAGCTGTGCTGGCAGACTTCGTATTCATATATATTCATAGTCATAGATATTCATATATATCTCTACTCAGATGTGATTTTGGAGGGTATTAACATACATGCCATGGTTTTGGATCTGGTCTGCCCTTTCTATTCACAAAAAGCTTTTGATCCAACAGAGTGATCTTGCTGGCAGAATGTGAGATTTTGCAGCAGATCTTCAGAAGTTGTTAGGGACTTCATGGGAGGAGTAATTAGCAAAAGCCACTCCATAGACAGATGTGCATCCTGATCAGAACTCTACTCGCTTCCATCAGTATAAGCAAAATCTGGATCAAAGCCATAATATTCCACTGAGCCCAATGTTGAAATTCTAAATCCATTTACTTTGAAGTTATTTCAGTTCAAATCAGTAAGATATACATTTAACCTACAGAGACTTTGAAAATCTTATTCTATGATTCAGATGTTGGATTAAAATGGGAAAAACAAACAAATGTAACAACTTTGGCAACATGAAGAAAACAAAGGTGAGTTGGAATGTACTGACCTTCTGCCTAAACTGTTGGTCTATATTTCTTCCACAGCAAAACGCTGTGATTATCCCCACATAGAAAATGGAGCACTGTCTTGGTCCAATACATACTATAGTGATGTATATTTTCCCAAAAAAGAAGGAGAAACAATCCACTTCAGGTGTAATCGTGGCTTTCTACCAGAAAATAAAAAGCACTGGCATATGATTAGATGCACTGAGCTTGGCTGGGATCCAGAACCAAAATGCTTTAGTAAGTATATGTTTGTTCTAGTTTTATTAAGTTAGGAAATCTCTCTTGGCTTTAACAAAAGGCTGCCTGAAGCTGTCTTAAAAAATAAAAGCTGACCTCCCCACCCCCACAGCCTGCCCCCTGCCTACTAACCATCTACTGTCATCTGTGCCCACATTCCATGCTGCCACCACCATTCCATGTTGCCACCACCATTCTTGAAAGCCTGTGCCACAGTGGCCTCCTCTGCTGCCATCCACCACTGCTCACTGCAGTGGCCTCTGCTGCCACAGGCTGCCTTAATGGAATCCAGGCTGCCCTTTGCAAAGATGACAGTTGTGGCTTCTGTGCCCTAACAGAAATCACAGCCTCCATCTTTACAAAGGGCAGCCAGTGTCCCTGGTGGCAGGCTGTGGCTGTGGAGGCCACTGCAGCAGGTGATGGATGGTGGTGGCGCCAGACGGCGGTGGATGGTGGCAATGGCTAAGGGAGGGAGGGGAAGGGGGGCAAGCTGTGGGGTGAGTAGTTGTGGGGCTCACTGACTGCCTATGGGCCCACTGATCCACTGTGTGGTGGGCCCATAGGCAGAGTGGGAAGGCCATAGGCTAGCCTTCCCTCTCTTCATATGGGGGATGAATAAAAATGGACAAATATTCATTACTTTGTATTTGTCGGGGTCTCGAACTGACAAATACAAAGGGATGAATATTTAATGAATTAGCAATTTTTAATGAATATCACAATTGCTTATTTTATTTGTCCCCATGTCTAGTATATATATATATAAGTTAGACAGAGTTAGACATCTGGCAGCAGTATTTATATATTGTGATTTGTGTACCTTTAGCGGTACTATTTGCTGAAGGATTTCTCTCAATCTTATCCTTTTAACAGCTATGAATCTGTTAATAGAATTCTACATGCTAAAAAAACCATTGGTTTCTAAAGTTCTAGGCTGTATAAAGTTGGGGCGACCTCTCCATTATATGGCTAGGTAAGCACAGAAATTTGGCTCTTCATCAAAGAGAGCAGATTTGGAACAAAAACTAATTTCATGACATCAATACAGTGGAACGAGCATTTTAAACTTTTACTAGATGGCTTTATGCTTACTGACATGTCTGGCTGACAATATCATGGAGCTATCCTTTTTCAAGCTACAAAGAAGCAGCCTCTTCGTCACCAACGGTTTGAATTTCCTGCCTTTTTCCCATGCCCTTTTCTGTTTGCAAATCAAAGCTCTGGCCACAAGTCAAAGCAAAATTTTGCAGCTGGAGCTGCAAATGGTCATAAGTTAGGGCATTCATAAGTCAAGGCACCACTGGGTTGTTGTTTTTTTGTTGTTTTTCATTTTTCCTTTTGTTCAATATATCTGAGCATTGTAGGTTTTGGAGTCCCAGTTTTGGCCAATGGTTTGTATACTTGGATTCACATTTTCAGCAGTGTCAAACAGGGAGATGACTTCCTTCCTCATTATATCTCATCAAGTTCATGCCCAAATCACAGAGCCCCCCACTAACTATTCGGCCACACTGTCCAGATTTTCCTGGTGTGGGTAAATTCCAGGAAGGCTACATATGCTGCTCACTACCCCTACCAATACCTTGAGTAACTCTGATTATTCAGTATTCCGGGAGTTAAAACTTCACACAGTTAAGCATTTTAGTATGGATACCAACCCTTTACATTTTGTGGGTATTATGATAGGAATAGGAATATCAAAATACCCACAAATGTAAAGAATCCAGTAGGTGGTCAAAGCAAGGCCTTTCATTAGTACCAATAAACCAATTTACCCAAAATGAACTGCTGTAAAATTCTATTATTTTTTGAAGGTGTCACAAAAGTTAAAAAAATAATAATGTTCCAAATAGTTTCAAAACATTGTTTCAAAAGTTTCAAAAGCAATCAAAATGGTGTGTAGTAACAAGCTTCAAAAGATCTTGAGGGAAGACAATTTTTAGAACAAGTCCCACAAGAAAATTAAAAAGCTAACTATCCTATGCTAATACTCATATGCAGAGAGCAAATGAAGTAATGAGTAGTCAATGAACACAGCATTCTCCTGAAAGATACTAGGCAAAACTAAGCAAACTCTCATTTCACTCAGATAAGACACAGATGTCAAAACCTTCCAATTAATGGGCAACTTTCCCCTCCTCTACTGGCCTGCTCATTCCAGGTACAAGTCATCAAGCTTGTATTCCAGAGAGCAATTAAAACCATCACCACCACCCCAAGGAACCAAGATACAGTGGTGCCTCGCTTAACGTTTGCTTCATTTAACGTTTTTTTCGCTTAACGTTTATTTTTTCAGAGGCAGATTGTGCTTCGTATAACGTTTTTCCCTATGGGCGATTTTCGCATAGCGTTTTTGGGACCATGCTTCGCTTAACGTTTTTGGTTTTAGGTCCCCTGCTTCGCTTAACGTTTTTTTTGTTTTCAATTTAAAAAGTGTCTTAGAAGGGTCCAAAACGGTTCTAAATGCTTGGATTCGTTAGAGGACCCCTTAAGTCATGTGCAAACCTGATTTGGCTTTGATCTGAACTTTCGTTTTTTTGTGAATTTTTTTTTTTTGGCCCATAGCAACCAATGAACCTTTCGAAATCTGACAGCTCCATGCTTTCCTGTGGGGGAGAAAACAATTTACAAAAAATTAACGAAAGTTCAGATCAAAGCCAAATCAGGTTTGCACACAACTTAGGGGGTCCTCTAACGAACCCAAGAATTTAGAACAGTTGCTGAGTCTTCATTAATTTTTTGTGAATTTTTTTCTTCCCCCATAGGAAATAATGGAGCTGTCAGATTTTGACAGCTGTCAAAAGTTGGGGGAAAAAAATTCACCATTAATTAACGAAAAGTCAGATCAAAGCCAAATTAACTTTTGCATCCATTTTAGAGGGTGCAGAAGCTAATCCAAGCATTTAAAACCATTTTTGACCCTTTTATGACACACTTAATTTTGCAAAAATTGACTTCGCAAAGCCATTGAAACCTATTGAGTCAGCTACAATACATTCCAATGGAGGATACATTGTATCGTTTAACGATGTTTCCTATGGGTTTTTTCGCTTAAGGACGGCAATCCGTGCCTATTGGAACGGATTAACCGGTTTCCAATGCATCTCTATGGGAAATGGTGTTTCGCATAAAGTTTTTTTCGCATAAGGTTTTTTTTTTTGGAACCAATTAAAAACGTTATGCGAGGCACCACTGTATTATCTTATCAGGTTCAACTTCTTTGTTCATTAACTTCAACCCCAAAATGCAACTTCTTTCAGCCCCTCCCTTCAGTTCTCACAAGAGCCTTTGTTGACGAGCAATTAGGAATGGAACACAGTGTTCATGCTCTGACTGGTACATTCTTGTAGTGGCCTGGAGAACAGCAAAATACATCTTCTTTCTCATGCAGACAAAGTGCCATCTGTAACAGGCTGGAGAAGTACAATACATCCTATCTGATTTCCTGAACCCTGCTCTGCTCATTTTCTAGTTTCTTGACACCTACATTTGTAAGAGCTGTAACACTCCAACTCTAAAAAGAGTTATTCATGAATTGGAAATTCTCTTATTTTGAAATGTTGCTGACTATTTCCTGGGAAAGTGTCTACCTTTTCGTCATTTCTTTGGTTCTGCCAATTTATAATGCAGAAAAGTTGAGTGTGTTAAAGGAGCTTTTAGTTTTCATTTGTCCAAGTAATGTTTCCATGCTATGCTACTATTGTCATTCTTATATTTGTCTTCTTTATTGTTATCTATGTGCTCCTCCACACAGTGATGTTGTCTGCAATCAATCTGGGGTTGTTATGGATTACTGTATCACATTTTTGTTGCAGATTTGAACAGGTCATCCTAGTATTTGTGTTCACAAATGGGAAATGAATTTGACCGAAGTCTCACTCCTAGTAAAGAATGCTGTCCCTTTTGTCTGTCTTATCTCTACTACTCTCCTCTAGTTTATCCCCATCCTTGGGCTGTGGAAGGGTGGAAACAAACTGGCAGTAAAATGCCCATAAGGAAATGACACTCACCCACCAAGTGCATAGATCAACACAAAACTATTCAGGATGAGGATCCACATGAGCAGATCCTACACTGGAGCAAATCAGAATAAAAATACAGCAAGAAAAAAAATCAGAAATCAAGAGGTGTTGTCCCACTTTGAATCTGTTGACACTAGCTTCACTAACCTGTGTTGTGTGGTCATCATGACCCAGTACCACTATCATGGGTACAGGGAAGTTGAACAAATGCTCAATGTGACAGAGCTCCAAAAAGATTATTCTATATTTCAACTTTGTGCTGTGATAATCGATTTTCACAGTCTTCTCTGCTTGGTCTGTTATTTGCTTTTGTTTCATTTTTATGTGTATTGCTTGACTGGAAGGTAATCTTAAAAATATTAGATAAACAGATAAACAGAAAGAAAGAAAGAAAAGCTGAAATGACACATTGACCAGTCATGCTTGTTCTATTCTCTTCATTCATGGGTTCAACTTCAAATACATACACAGTCAAGAAACAATATTTTTCAAGAATATGTGCAAAATGTGGGTTGTTATATTGGATGTAGCAGTATTTAGCTTTCTGAGAATCTCAGGTCCCTCTCCTTTTTAAAAACAATTTTGTAATAATGAAGAAAGTGACCTTTACTAAGACTCTTGATATAGCTAGCTCAGCCGTATTTAAATTTGTCTTGGGGAACCAGGACTTTATCATTAACTGAGTAAGGTAATTTTTTTAAAAAAAATTATTTATTTATTTGCATTCCATTTATCTCACAAAATGGTACCTTGTGGTCTTCTGCTATAAATTCAATCCTCATAATAATTCTGGTTTGTTGGAAAAACAGGAAGAGGTAAAAGCTGCACAACAAGGTTTCTGGAGGCAAGGAGACTAGAACTTCAGTCTGTGTAGTCAAACACATTGCACATGTCATCACACTGTCCCCCAGTATAGCAGAATATTCCAACACTAGCAGCTTCAAGCTGTAGGCAATTATACACAGAAAATGGCCCATCAACATCTGTCTCAAAAAAATAAATATTTTATGTTCCCATCTTTGCTGGCAACACTGACCATATTAAGAGAAGTGGACCCCAGTTCATTTCTTTAGACATCCAAAATTAGGCTGTAACTATGTGATAAAAAAACTGTGGAATTTACTTCATTTCTAAAATGGGTGAATTTGGATTTTTTTTGGGGGGGTTACTGATCACATGACACAAAGAGTGATTCAAATTAGTCCAGTCCTTTTTTGGTCCCAAAGTGGCCTTTCTCCACTCTGCTGGTGGGTGCTTCTACTTTTTCAAGCTGGAATAATTTGAATGGCCTCTTCCTCATGTGGTTAGTTGCAACACATTTTTCTAAAGACAAGGGGCTGTAGGTGGTGTTTTGGTGACATAAGTAGTTGGAGTATGATGTTCAGGATCAGGGGAAACATGTCCTCACACTCTTTCCATTCCCTCATTGTTCTCAAATTTTTTCAAAAATTCTTATATGTATGAGATTAGTGGTGGTTGTTGTTTAGTCATTAAGTTCTCCTGACTCTTCATGAATCCATGGACCAGAGCATGCCAGGCCCTCCTGTCTTCCACTGCCTCCCGGAGTTCGGTCAAATTAATGTTGGTAGCTTCAATGACACTGTCCAACCATCTCGTCCTCTGTTATCCCTTCTCCTCTTGCCCTCACACTTTCCCAACATCAGGGTCTTTTCCAGGGAGTCTTCTCTTCTCATGAGATGGCCAAAGTATTGGAGCCTCAGCTTCAGGATCTGTCCCTCCAGTGAGCACTCAGGGTTGATTTCCTTCAGAACAGATAGGTTTCTTCTCTTTGCAGTCCAGGGAACTCTCAAGAGTCTCCTCCAGCACCACAATTCAAAAGCATCAATTCTTCGGCGGTCAGCCTTCTTTATGGTCCAGCT